GGCGTGGGGGCAGGGCGTGAGACGGCGCCGGGTCGTCCAGGGGGGAAAGGGGGGGGGGCACAGGGGCATCGGCCTGTGCCCATCCAGCGGGCGCAGCATGCGCAGCGGCGTGAAGCGGGAGCAGCCGGCGACAGCGGCGGCAGCAGCCTGGAGCTGGAGCTGCAGCTGCAGCCGCGTGGCAGCATTGCAGCATCGCAGCATCGCAGCATGTCGGCTGCTGGTGCCTGGAGATCCGTAAAATCCGGGCACACCCGGCCCACCTTTGGGAACGTGGCGTCATCGACCATTTCAGTGCGTGAGGGAGCCTGGAAGCCCTGAGACAGCCACCCCGCCCCCTCCATGGCGGCCCGCAGCGGCGGGCACGGCTGGGGACCGCGGCAACTTGCAGGACGCGGCGCGAATGGCCTGGTGGGCAGGTGGCAACGGGCTCGCCCAGGCGACGCGCAAAGCGGAGCCCCTGCTGATGCTGCTGCACTGGGGCCCGCTGGTGCCGAGGTCTGTGCCAAGTGGGCTGTGGCGCTGGTTTTGAGAAAGACGAAGCAGGTGTTCAATGTCGCTTTTGCACTTGTGATATCGATTTCAATGCGAGATCAGCGAGTCACCCGCACGCCTCGGGCAGCCTCAAACTGTATTTCAGAACCTCATGTACAATTTGCAGTGCGCATCAACATATGATCGACAGCAAGCGAGCCTCCCAGCTGGTTTCCAGTCCTGTCACCTGCCGCCCCCTCTCTGCGACAGCTCACCAGCCACGCTCACAGACTCTGGGTCTGCACCACGCCCACGGCAAGGCGGCGCGATGGAGCCCTCCGGATCGGCGATGTTCGCGCCCGAGAACAGGGCGCACATGGTATGCCCATATGATTTGGAGGCTGCCACACTACGGGCAGCCGCCCCCGCGCAACCGCCCACCCACCAATCCAACTGCCTCGTTCGCACCCGCGCCGGCCGATGCCCCATCCTAAACCATGGCGCGGCCGTCCGTGCGTGCCCCCCCACCCTAAAATTCACCTCCCCCAGGAGTCCTCATTCCGCGCGTTCCTGGCGCGCCCCGAGAACCGCCCGCTCGTCGAGGAGCAGCAGCGGCTGGAGGTGGCGGGCGCGCTGGCCCTGCAGGAGCAGGAGCGCGAGGCGCGCCTGCGAGAGCAGGTGGGCCGGGGGCCCAGCGCGCGCGACACCACTGCTTTCTGGGCTGCTCTGCCGCTCGCCTTGGCACAGTGAAGGCGCATGGCCATGCAGTGTGCAGCAGCACGGCCTGCAAACACTAGGCCCGGCATGGTGCAGGGCGCCGACGAACCACTGTTGAGCTGCGCACCATTCCCCACTGATGGCTGCGTGACGCCTGGATTCAACCCTGTAATCTCCCGCTTGAATGCAACACCTTTCCTCACAGGTGCTGGCTCTGCCCCCAGAGGACCAGCGGCGGCTGAAGCCTGTGCTGCAGCACTCAGTCCTGCGCCGCCTGCTGCAGTCCCTCACCAACAGCGGCCGCGACGACGGCACAGCAGCCCCCGGGAGCAGCAACAGTGGGGGGCCGCCGCCACTGGCGGAGTGGGTGGAGAACCCCAGGGTCATGGTCATGCTGTCGCAGGCGGCGCGCGCGCTGCGCAAGGGGGAGCTGTCGGAGCAGGAGCTGGAGCAGCTGCTGCTGGGGCAGCTGCGGGGGCGGGACGGGAAGCTGCGTCCCGAGGCGGCCACCCCCGCAGGCAGCGACGGCGGCAGCGAGGCAGCGGGGGACTGGGGTGTGGCAAGCGGGGGCGCTGGTGGTGAGGGGCAGTTGGATGCAGTGCTGCCCAACAGAGTGGTGCTGCCGAGCCACCTACTTGTCGAGGCCCTGAACGAGCACGTGAGTTATTGCGGCTTCCAGGCAGAAAACAGAGTCATATTTTTGGGTGATGTTGCACGCACTACGGTGCGTCTCCGCTGCTGAGCAGCTTGACAGATGGTTCTCTGGTGCCAAATGCATCAGAGTCGTGCATGTCGGTGAGGCAAGCAAAATCTCAGCCAGATCCGCCGTGCACCGCAGGTGACCCGGCAGGCAGTCAAAACCCCAGGGACTCCCCAACCCATCCCTCCCCTCTATGTGCATGTGGTATATTGCATTGCTCCCCCACCCCTGGCTCTCATCCCAATGTCGTGCCGCTCCTGACCAACCGCCAGCTGGCGGAGCGCCGCGCGGGAGGCGCGGCATACAGGGCCGGCGACGCGCCGCGCGCCTTGGAGCACTACCGCTGCGCCGTCGCCGTCGTCGAGTTTGTGCGCGGCGCGAGCCGCGAGGAGCAGGCCGAGGTGGCGCGCTGCCTGGCGCGCGCACTGTGGTGCGAGGCGGCGGCGCGGATGGCCCTGGAGGAGTGGGGCGCGGCAATAGCGGCCTGCTCGCGGGCGCTCGCCGCCCTCCGCAGCGGCGGCGGCGGAGGTGCGGTTGATGCAGGGCACCAGCTGCAGCAGCGGGCGGCGGCAGAGTCGCTGGACGCCGAGTTGGAGGCGCGCGTGCTGCTGCGGCGAGCCAAGGCGCACCTGGCGCGCCACGAGCACCCGGTGGGGGCCTGCTGATGGCTGCCAGTTGGCAACGCCTTTGTGCAACGCATGCAACCCCTCCTTGAATGATTGCGTTCGGGCAGGCTGCTGCCACCTGGACTGAGCCGTGAGGCTGCGTTCCAACCACCGCGACACGGATGCTTGAACACCGCACGGCACCTTATGGCGAGGCGGACGCCCCATCCACCGCTGCCTCGGCCGCCTTCCTGAGCGCAGGCCGCGCTTGCTGACCTGGCGGCTGCCGAGGCGCTAGACCCCTGGGCCAACGGCCTGCCTGAGCTGCGTGACAGGGCGCGAGATATGGAGGCGCGCGAGGCGCGCGGCGGCGGCAGCGGCGAAGACGCGGCGCTGGCGCGGCGCATGCTGAGGGGGTTGTCAATGAGTGGCGGGACAGGCAGCGACGGTGCCAGTGGGTGTTAGAGCTGCTGGGGGTCAAGCTGCTGAGCTGTGAAGTTCAAACTGCTGGGCCGGACAGCTGTCCAGCGTCAGCTGCAGATTGCCCTTGGATTGGCTATACTCGTTACGATGGAAGAGTTTCGCCACCGTGAGTCAAAAGTCATGCTGGATGCTGCGTCATCATGAGACCCAGCAATTGATTTTGCCGCTGACCTGTTGCCAGCACGGCAACCACCCAGTCCCAGGCTTGCATCGCGCGATAGCAATCGCCCCCTTGTACCTTCTTGGCCCTCCAATCCACTGCTTTCAGCACAGTCAAGGCGGCCGCGGCGCTTCCGCCTTGATTGGCTGCTTTGATTGGGGTTTGTTACAGTGGGCGTACTGACGGTGTGTTGGTGACGGTATATGTTGGCGGTCACGTGAAGCCTGCTCCATCGTAAAGCCCAAACCTGGTAGCTTTCAAGGTGTTGGGTTGAGCGCTAACGTCATGAAGTAGTGGTCACGTGAGTCACAGACCGACTCCATGCATGCCAAAATCACTGGGCCCTGTTAGCATAAGAGCTGAGTGGTGGATTGTAAGTCCCTCGTGGGTGCAGACTGCCAAGCTGCCAGCCGCAAGAAAAATCTTCTGGTGTCCAAGAAGTATTGTGTGACTGCCATAATCAAAGCTCAGGAACCAGTTCGAGCAGCTGCTTGTGCTCCTCAGCCCACAGCCAAATCACAACCTCCATGCCGCCCCCGGCCGCTGGCGGCGCCGGCTGCAGTATCACGATGGGGAACCCGGGCGCAAAGCTGGGGGCGGCCGCGAGGGGCAGCTGGCCGCCAAACGCCAGCTTTGAGTGGTCCAGGGCCCAGGTTGACGTCATCAGGAGGGGCACCTTCCCGGCAGCTGCGTCCTCTATGATCTGGAGGACGGGCAGGATCATGGTGCGGTGGCAGGCGCCCGGCTCCGCCGCGATGAGGGACGCGTAGGCTACGTCTCTTGGAAAAAGAGCCGTGCTCCTGGAATACGTTGCGTTACGGGGGAGGGAGGCCGTCGTCAGTGTTGAACTTATTGGCTGCTGGCGTGCTTGGTGCAGGAACATAAGGAGGAGTCCCCCACCTTGCAGACCCCTGACCCAGGTGTGGCCCTCAGTGGCCTGCTTCTATTGCCAAACAAAACCCATTTGTATAACTCCAAACTCCATGCACGCACACACGTGCACACACACACACACATACACACACACACGCTCACACATGCATGGCACCGTTGCCAGCAGCCGCACCTGCCCAGCGACCGCCTGACCTCCCTCGCCACCTCCCCCAGCGACGGCCCCGCCGCCCCCTCCCCTCCCCC